TCAGCAGCCAAAATAAACTCCAGCAATATGTGGCATCTTTTCTGCATCAGGATTTTGCCAATCTAACTGCATCAGGTGAAAAATTAAGCTTGGCACAACTGACAGAGTTACGTTGGTAACTTTTTAAAGAATACACCAGCCCTTTTACTATCCTAATAACATTCTCAACATACAAAAATGCCACGTTAAGACATCTGACATCTTGAGATGCATAATTTTAAAATAAGTATCATAATCCGAGCCACAAAGTATCTTCACTGTATTTTAACTTCATTTCCTGCCAGTACTTATCACAGATACCTGACAGTATTTAACTCGACCTGCACAACAGTGAATCAACATTCAGATACTCTTACAAAGTCTTTAATAAAAATCAAAGAGGAAATGCCTTTTTCTATCTTATGCCGCAATATTTGAACCAAAAAATCAACTCAGAAAATATAACTACGTAATCTCCTTGCTATTCAGCCCAAGAAAAGCTTGCAGAAGTGTGAAGGAGCATGTTTCTGCAATAAGGACTCCAATCTGAAGCTGAGATGGTCACTGTAGGAGGAAGTACACACATTGCTCCTGCATTAGCTAGAAGGAAAGCATTACAGACAATGAGAAAGAAAAGATGATCAGCAGAGGAGACCAGAAATATAAGACAGAAGGAAGAAGAAAGAAGCTCTAAAACAATTGCACACGATGATCAACACAGTTACCTGTCGCTGTGAATGGGAGTTTAACATTCTCTTCTATCCTGGCTGAAAAATTTCACAAAGTGATCTTGTTTATTCCTATCACATCTATCTGCTATTTTTCACCAATACTTTGTGACATTACAGAACAAAGACCTCAAGTTATATACTTCCCCGTAAAACTATAATGCTAAAGAGTATTTTCAAAAGCCGAAATGCCAGAGAACAGTGCTTTCAATAAAATCTGGCAATGCCCCGAGGTACTCGATTCAGAAACCTATGTAAAGTCATACAGTCTCTGCTAAAATTCTCCACCACTGATTCTCCTCAAAAGTTTGGTGCTTTTCTTCATAGTGAAATGATAACTATATTAATGTGCTCTGTTTATCACTAAATCTATTGGAAATGTGCTTCTTATCTGACTTGCTTTCCAGGGCAGTGCATACCCTGGGACAGAGGAGTTTTGCTTCTCCCACGCTGTTACGGACCCAACTCTGCTAGCAGGAAAGATGCTGGTATCCTAGATCTTATGGGATGCAATACCTTGAGGAAATTTATATCAAACAATTATTGCATAATCTCGGGGTGTAATAAAACCTCCTACACCATACACAGGCATCGAGTTCCTGTT